AGGTAGTTTTCACCTCAGTTAACAGCTGATAACTCTGGAGGACACAACTGAAGAACAATCAAAATTTTCCGTGTCGTGTGTAAAGCTTAAATCGCTAAGTGGAAAGCACAATCCGTAGATCTGTTATGAATCCTTAGCATAGCACCAAAACTATTTAGAGTAGTCTCAACATTTAACAAAAAGTTTAAATTTTGTCACAGTTGCCTGGTAGTTCTCATCAATAGATTTACTCGCCAGCAAACAACCAAGTTTATATCAGTTTCACATTGTCGTATTGGCCGAGCTATAGCGGCAGGTTTTTAATTTGAGGGTTTTTTTATCGGTCTCACTCTCGGTTATTTTGTAGTTGACGGCATTCACGATCGTTCAAATTGTTGCTTTTACATCCAAAGCATCAAGGGGTGAAATTTAAACTGACGAACTAACATGCACACTTGTGTAACAGCTATAAATTCGGTAAAGAAAAAAATGAAACATGTTTTAGAAATTAACGTTACCTGCTTGAAAACTCCAAATTTACATGTAATGACGCAATGCTACAAATTATGCAAAAACGAGCTTGAATAGCGAGGAAACAAAGACATCTTTTGTCGGATGAGCTTTCTGTTACAAATGGCCGGTCATGCAAAACAATCGTGCGGTCTTCCGTGACAGTTTCGGTCGAAACATGTCGCGGTTTAATCTCAAGCTATGTTTCCGCAAAGCTTTTCTCGCTGTATTTCTACCTCTGGCTACAGGTGAGCACCATATAATTTGAAATCTAATCGTAAGGTTTCACTTTATTCTAATTTACTACATCTAGCGGAATTAGTTGGAAATGTCTTCCACTTTTAAGTGCTGAAGCCTAAGAGTTACGCGCACATCACAAGTTAATCGCCAGTGCAGACAGCATCGGTGCCAAAAAGATAAAAGAGTTGCTCTGAGTTTCGCATTTTCTTAATAATAAGACTATCTTACAACAAACGGGACAGTTAAACACCTTCATGCTTTTGTGACTAGCTCAGTTAGGAACATGAAGGAAAAAGTTACGCAAGTCACTTTGAACTATTCTGTCAGCAAACAGAGAAAGAGTTTGAATTCATTATGTTTCAGTGAAGTTGTCGGGTGGTAACATTTGCATCCATTCAGGTTAAAGTTCCCTTCGATATCATTCTACCTGTGCTATTTATTCTAAAAATGCTTACATTAATCCAGTATTTCACTAAGACAGAGCTAGGGTCAAAGATACGTTCGATCACTTTTTGCCATAGTTCTTTTTTGTTGTTTTTTTGTTTTTGTCACGAAGGAACTGTATGCTTAATGAGGTGTGGGGATTAATTATTATTTATCATTCTACTACTATGTCATTTTATTAAATTAGGTCATGACAACGTGCAAAATATGCCACGGTGAGACAATGTGAAAGAGGAAAAACATAAGCAGCAACAAAATGGCGGCACTGAACGATTCAGCCTTTTTTTTGTTTTATTTTTAGGCTTGGCTTGTAAACAAATGATATTTCAAGCGAGTAAGATTTTGTGTGGGTATTGCCTCCTATAGGAGGCTGACCAACACTATACGTTATTAGTATATACTAAATGGTGGACAGCGTTGAAGGCAGTCACTGATTGGATACTCAAACTCCGACTATCCTTTGCTATTCACCTCCAGGCGACTTGACCCAAAAATATTGTCATCGTTGCAGTATAAATGAGTTAATGTACTTTTTTGTCCACCACTAGCCACTACCACTTGGGTAAATAGTTGTTAACTATCTGTGACACGGACCTTTGTCTCTAAGGTAATTTATAGAGAGATTTAAGGCATCCACGTGCCTCTGACATCTAACCAATTATCCCTGTTACAATAATTGTTATGAATATGTTGTAACGAAATGTCACGTAAATTTTTGTTTTTTTAGGAGCCTGTGTTGATTTAGATCTTGGAGTGGGAAGTGGGACAATTCCAGATAGTGACATAACTGCTTCTTCGAACCAAAGTATCAACACACCGGCCAAGAATGGTCGACTGAACTACACATCAGGATCGTCATGGTGTGCAGGAACAAGTGATCTTAACCCATATCTACAAATTGATCTACAGACACCTCATATCATCTGTGCTGTGTCCACTCAAGGGAATTCTCAAGCAGATCAGTGGGTGAAGAGCTATAGACTACAAATATCCACAAATGGGACAACTTGGACAGACTTCAAGGAGGATGGACAAGTAAAGGTATATATGAAATGTAGTATGAGACTTAACTGCTCAAAAAAAATTCAGTGTACAGTTACGACTATAACATGGGCTATAAGGTCTGGCATTGTAGAATATCCCACAGAGATGGAAGTCCTCAATAAGAATTTTTGGTCTTATTAATAATCATTATGGCTACTTGGTCTAGTTGAAAAGTTAGTTATTGATGTGTTTCTTTCAAGTTTCTGAGGGGAAACGAGGACCGGAACTCAGAAGTGAAGCATGTTGTTTATGGAGTGTTAACAAGATATCTGCGATTCCTGCCACAAAAACACCAGGGTGGGGTGTGTATGAGAACAGAAGTGTTTGGAGTGGAACAAAACCCAAGTGAGTTTGAAACTCATTTTTGCATGGTTACCATTGTCGTATTGTTTTAGTTTTATGTTGTAGGTAATTTAAGATACTCTTTTAATCTTTAAACGGGTTTTTGAAACCCACTAGCTGTTTTTCTTTCATGATAGATGCTTGTGTTTTAGATTAGTGGATAAAATTGCACAAACTACTGTTTCTGCATTCATCAAAGACACCAAGCCACCCAGGATAACTTGTTATTCTCGTGCTCAGTGTTAATTAGTAAATATCAATCGATTTACACATGAAACAAAACTCACATCAAAGGAGAATAGTTGATGGGAAAAGTCTTATGAATGTGAATTTATTGTTGGTAACTTTTAATTTTGATTTACAAATCAATTGTAATGCTTTTGAAACGAGGTAGAAATTATTGGCTTTAGAATTGTTGCGTAAAAATACCAAATAAGTTGAGGCGAAACTTGTGAGATCTGGTAAAAGTTATTCGATCGATTGTAGGAATTATTTTACATGTAAAATTGTAAAACTGTGGAAGCTGGTTTTAAATTACTATCTTGAAGCTTGTTAAATGAAGGCCATTGGCCTCCGCTGATCTGTTATTTTTGTGTTAGGCAGTCTAGCATGCTCTATGAAACTTTCAACGAGAGTTTTAAACCTACTGGTTATAGCTTAATTGTTGCTTTTCTCTACGAGGCTGTTCCAACTCACTACAGGATCTCGAGCTCACATATCCTAGCTGCTCGGCTAATTCATAATGTAAGCCCCTCTATTCCAAAGCGTGAAGTTTTAACTAAAGTTAAAATGGTACTCCTTATCCTATCTCTACAAGAAGAGGGTGGCATGTATTGCTTATCAAGCTTGTTACAACTTAGGACCACGAAGCATAAAAATCTCTTCACCAAGCAAGAGACAAATAATTTACAGTAAGGGACAACTTCATATCTGATCCAACTTATTCTTCATGAAACAGGGGACATTGGGAGTTTTAGTTTTGCGGTTTTGGCTATTTTTCGAGCGATTTTTCGGTTTTTGCATTAAAGAACTTCGGTTTACCGGTTTTGTTGTGGTTTCTGGATTTTCTGTCGTTTAGCATACTTTTTTTTTTGTTTTCGTCAAGAATAACAACGGATTTATGGATTTGATATCTGATGTGGTTTTCGGTTTTTCTTATTTGGGTTCCAGTTTCTCTTTCATCAGAGTGGTAATTATGGGCTTCCATTGATCTCGAATAGCCGCGAAACCTTGTTATGCTCCACTTGTCACTACTACATTGAATCAATTAGGGTTTTGATAACTTGAATGTGAAATTTTATCGGTTTTACATGTGATTTTCGGTTTTGACCACATTCTTGTGGTCTTGCAGTTTGGGTGACTTTTTCTACGGTTTTGCAGTCTCTACCAAAGCCCAATGCCCCCCTGCTGAAAGGGACTAAACACTTTTTTTTACTTATAGCGCCAGCATGAGATAGAATAGTTTACATGTAAAGACCAAATCTGCACCGTTTTTTTCATGTTTCCAAGCAAACCTTGCTAGATTCTCAAAAACTCTTGATGGAATATCTTTTGGATGCACCTCCACAGTGAAAAACAAGAACAATGATAATTTCATTCCTTTTAAACTATATGATTAGTTATATTTTACTAAGAGTATCTATGTTAAATATGTGATTATTTAATGGGTAATTACTGAGGCATATGGCATTATGAGAAATATTGCAGCCAGCTGAGGCCGTAGGCGTTGGATCTTCGATTTTAGTCGCACCTATGTGTGATAATTGTGATGCTCATTGCTATTGTTCTTTGTTGTGATGAATATATCTTAGATTTTAATTGTGCCGAGGGTTGTTATTGTAGCTCGTTGTTATAGTTGTTCAAAACAGTTCTAATGATGGAATTAATTCGTGCAAGACGTGTAACACTGCTAATTTGCATACTTTATAAGCCAGAGAATTCAGTCACTTTACTCAGTGCCAACCTGGGTTTAGAAAGAGGATGGATTCGTCGGAAGACGAAGGGTTATTTATTACACAGAGCTCTACGAAGGCAGATATTTCAGCAGAAATCGAAGATAATGTAGTGTAACGTTTGGACATTTCTGTCAGTGCTTTAATTCTTTATCGACTTCTAAAGGTGGCGTTTCCATTTTCTTTTTTTAAATAGAGCAAAGATTTAGAACGCCAATTATAGCTTCAGAATGCGAGAAATTTGACAAAAGTTGGGTTTCAGACGCCAGCTGCCGGAAATGGGCGGGGGTTTTGAAAGTCTTTGAGGAGTGGAGGAAGCAATATTTTTAATAATTGTAACCTGCACACTACAATATTTATAATATTGCAGCCTGCACACTGCAATATTTTTGATATTGCAGCGTGCTTATTGAGCGCATTTAATTATATTACCCCTGATAATTTCCCTGCTAACAGAAAGGACCGCATCCGTTTTCCTCATACAGTTGTTTTGTCATCTTAAAGACTACAATCGTTGATGCAATGCAGAGAGGGAACAATAGAATTTCATGGGGATCAGTAATTATTATCCCTTCCTTTTGACTTATGTGCTTATTCCTTGGTATGATTTGTAATTATTTAGGATTGTTTAGCAGGTCCACTTTAGCTTATGCTGCCACTTAACTTTTAATTTGGATATATCAACAAAGTTAGTGGAATGAAAAGCGTTCGTTGATCCCTGTGGGATTTAGACTGCCGACTGAGATTTAGACTGGGATTTAGACTGGGATTAGACTGGGATTAAGACTGGGATTTAGACTTTTTCATTCCACAAATTCATTCGTGTTTTTGTCGTTGCCATGTTCCCACCAATAACGTAGCTCCATTTTCTGCCCTTAAAAGCACACAGAACCCACAATTCCACTATTCGCTCCGACGAAGGGCTAACGCTCGAAACGTCAGCTTTTGTAATCGTTACGGTGGCCAATTTACCATTACAACTTTGTCGATATATCCAAATTATTTCGTTACCCCCACCGACGCAGCCCCAAACAGTTTCTTTAGAAACTATCAGCTTTTATTCACTTAACTTTTAACCTGCTTTACAAAGTAAAGAATGTTTGAACGTAGTACTTATATTTTAACAATGTTTGCTTATAACATTTGCAAATCGATAAATGGCTAAATCAATGCAAACAACTGTTTCTGTTCTTGTCAAAAACACCAGGTCGCTTACGGCAACATGTGTAGTTCGTATACTCAGAGATCTTGTAAAACTTATCCCATCGATTATTTGAAATATTTGAGAAACAATGTGAAGGCTGATTTTAAATTTATCTTGCAGCTTGTGAAATGGAGGCTATTGGTCTGGCCTTTAATGGTAAAATTCCAAACAACAGCTTCACAGCTACATCATCCTTTGATGGTAGATATGAGCCTCATGATGGTCGCCTGAATGCAAATGGACGGGGTTGGGGACCCTTAGATAGAAATGATCCTAAAGACTACTTACAAATTGACCTTTTGTTTGAGTATGTTATCTGTGCTGTGGCTACTCAAGGAAGTAAAGGATCCAATGAATGGACAACTAAGTACAAGATTTACTTATCATTGGATGGTAAAAATTTTGTCGCCTATAATGAAACCGGTGTTGAAAAGGTTGGTGTATGCGAAGGTTATTTTTATTAAAAAAATCAAGCACCTAAAAACAAATCGTCATTTTTTTTAATCAAAAGGAGAGACATAAATAAGCGGTTCCGGTCATTAACAGACAGCATCAATCCTCTTTCAAGTGAACTACAAACTGCTGCATGTAAGAGGAATACAAAGTGTGGATAGTTTTATCATCCTAAAATCTATGAGCAATTAGCTCTTATTTCCAAAGTTCTCAATAAGGAGCTCAATAATCTATGGTTTTATTGGGAGAAGTAAAAAAAAAAAGAATGCTCAGCAATTATAAATTACATTAAGAATGAAGGACTTATGAACAAGTCTGTAAGAATCGAACATCTTCGGAAATGAAAATTTTCAACACCCTTCAAATTTTGCATGCAGTTAGGCACTCAGGGGGTGAAAAAAACGCAAAAACGCCTTATTTAAAGGTTGCAGCACTCTTGTTGTCTTGGTAACAATGGCTTGTTTTAGGCCTGGTGTCGCATTTTCATACAAAAAAATCTCAAAAAAGAGTAAAATGTTTATTTCTCTGTTTCAAGCTAAATACAACATTACAAATTGATATTTCTACTACATATAATGACATTATTTGTTTTCACTTTAATGTATTCAATTTTCCTAGGAGTGAATGTAAACACACCAATAGATTATTTATCTTGGTACACTTTCTGTCATTTTTGATGTAGGGTAAAACAGGGAAAACGTTTATCTGAATTTCTCCAAAAGTACACCGATTCTGGAAGTGAAACTACCCACTTAGTTGGTTATAATATTCCAGTTTTTAAGTATTTAAAAATCTTTGCAGGCCGACCTCTACTTTTCATAGGGAAAATTTGCGAACGAAGCTCACAATTCAGATGTTGCATAATTTGGCGATGTTTACATAACTAATGTTCTCAACTACAAACGTCTCAGACAAATGAAACGTGCAAGGCTTGGAAAGAATGCTATCTTATGAGCAATATCCCGAAGAGAAATGTCGCCTCTAGTTGTCATCATTTAAAAAAATTAATCAGCCTTCATGGAGGGCTACTCGATGTAACTACAACCATATACCTCAAATCGTGTGCATATTATCAAGATTCCCAGTGCTGCACCTTCTTTCATGGGAATTTGAGCAATCCGAAATCCTCTGAAGATACACTGATATACTTGTATGCCATTTGAAACATGTTAAAGTCAGCTGATCTACACAAAGCTCTCCCTTCACCGGACATTTGTCATGAATGTGTACGTTATCACGAAGGCTTAACGCTGTATTTCTCCATGAAGTTTCCATCGGTCGTTCCAAAGAAGACGAGAAAGGGACATTTTCGATATTATTGGAATTTGATCGTGATGAAATCCCTGTTTCATTTATTGTACTTCGGTGATACTGAGTTGTTCAAAATGACGGTTTTCACGCGTGTCGTACAATATTGCAATTGTTGCAACTGGGTTTACATGTATTACTACCGCTGACATGTATTAATACCGCTTACCATGGCAACAAGAGTGCTGCAACCTTTAAAAGGAGTATTTTTGTGCATCCCCACTGAGTGTCTAACTGCATGCAAAATTTGAAGGTTTGAAAATTTTAATTTCCCAAGATGTTTGATTCTTAAGGAGACTTGTTCTTAAAAATGCTAAATCGTGATTGAATGGGATAAACACAAACAGTGTTATAAGATACCTTGATGCAAGTGAAAATTCTTGATGACTTGTCTCTAGGTTTCTCCTAGGAGTCAGCAGAAAACTGTTTCTCACTTGTAACTTTTTTGGTACTTTTTTATGCAGAATGCCTCCATGCGTGGTCAGAGTTAGCATTTTCAACTCGAAATGATTACACGAGAGACATGAACTCATACAATACTCAATGGTCCATGGCTCATTCCCGGCCTTTGGCTATTTGCAGGCTCAAAGTCTCAGTATTTGTATAAGCTGATAATTACAGGTGTTAATGATGCAGCATATCTAATTGAGAAAATTTTGATGCAATAATCTCACATTTTGCATCACAAATTATAGGACTTTACTGGAAACACGGATAGAGATACCATAAAAAAAAACAGTCTACAGGAATTCGCAAGTTCAAAGTTTATCCGCTTTTGGCCAACAGCATATCACAATTGGAAGGTTCTTAGAGTGGAAGTTTATGGAGTACTTCTAACTAAAGGTATTTATTCAAAACTGACTATAAAATAAATTGTCCAGATCCATTAAAGAATTGTTTTGTTAAGCAATAAGAAGTACACAAAAAATCTCTGAGGGATACTAACTTATTAGATTTAGGGAGAACCATGTCATCAGCAAAGGGACAGTCTTCGTTCAAATATGCTTCTGCAAAAGATTGGATCTATCTCCCAACAGAGTTGAGAGAACATACCTCCTTCTTCCTCATTCTTTTCTGCACTTCTATAGACCTCTACTTCGTTCCGGTTGATAAAAGTGCAAAAACGAATAGCCAAAATCCAGTTATCCTGACCTCACGCTTGGTCAATAACGCATATGTATAGATTGAGCCTTGGTAAGATGAGAATATTTTTGAAATAATTCAAGAGCCCACCATGTCTAGAATTACTTACCATTGCTAATTAAATAAATTTTTACTTGCATCATTCTTTTTTTCATGCTTGATATAATTCAGTGTGTGATGGGATTGTTGCATTGCAAGTACATTGAAGATTCTGGAAGCTAGTAGGTTGCCATTGCAACACAATCGTTTACCCAACTATCTGTAGAGCACATCGTCACGCTTAGGATATAAATAATGATATCTCTAATACATATGTATACACTGTCCCCTCTAGTGTTGATACCCCACATTGCTATGGTGAACATCTAATACTTTCTAAGTTCACAAGGATGATTCATTTACTTTCACATCAATAAACAACAGAGATTTAAAACACACTGTTGTTGTTTAACATTTCAGTGCCATCACAACCTCCTGCTGCCTTCAATTTGACTGCAAGCTCTTCTACCAGCATTAAAGCTTCCTGGCAGCTACCACCAATCTTTGCCAGGCATGGAAGAGACATTACAGGGTTTAAACTGTTTTACAGAGAGAAGTGCTTTGCAGGGTGTTTTTCCTTCTTAAATATTACTAGTGGATCAACATTCAGCAGACTTGTGACTGGGCTCAAAAAGTACACAGAATATGAATTTCAAGTCCTGGCATATACTTCCGATGGTGATGGACCGAAGAGCCCTGTTGAGGTGGAGAGAACACAGGGAGATGGTAGGTGCTAGATGAAGGTGAAAGCGAAAAAAATTATCACAATTGAATGGAAGAAATTTCATTGGACCTGTGGATGAAATTAAACAAAGAAAAGATCTCGTTTACAATTTAAGAAAAAAAAAAATGAGGCTTGGACAGGATTCAAAACCGTGCCTCCCATAACTGGGCTATGAAGCCACACATAAGAGCGAGGCAAGTTTTAGAGGCTTCTCTGTGGGGTTAACGTAAAACACTAATTTCTTCATGGCTGTACTCCGAAAAATAATGAAAGTGTCCAGTCAGGCCCTGTAAGGGCCTCCGAATGAATTACGGCTTACATAGCTGCAAATTCTTTGGAAAACAGCCATGAGCCCCCATTCCAGCCCATGGGTCTGTTTCCTTGTCAGTGTAAAGTTTCAAACCACTTTTTTTTTAATTGTTTAGATTGTGTTCAGTATGATCTTGGAATGGAAGGTGGAAACATTCAACACAGTAGGATAACTGCTTCTTCTTCCAGCACATCAACTGCGAATGGTCGACTAAACTATGCATTAGGAGCATCATGGTGTGCAGAAACAAATGACACTAGCCCGTATCTACAGATTGATCTGCAGACACTTCATATCATCTGTGCTGTGTCCACTCAAGGGAATTCTCAAGAAGATCAGTGGGTGAAGAACTACACACTACAAATATCCACAAATGGGACATCTTGGATAGACTACAAGGAAGGTGGACAAGTCAAGGTATATAGGAAATACAATGTGAGACAACTGCTCAAAAAATTACATTGTACAGTTATGACTATAACACGGGCTATACGGTCGGACATTGTAGAATATCCCACGAAGATGGAAGTCCTAAATAAGAATTTTTTGAGCTTATTAATAACCATTATGGCTGCTAGTTACACTGGTGATATTTTAATCCCTGCCACTTTCTCAAGTTGCAAAATTAGTTATTGATGATGACCTGTGACTATTTGTTTGTTTCAAGTTTCTGAGAGGGAATGACGACAGGAACTCAGAAGTGAAGCATGTTGTTTATGGAGTGTTAACAAGATATCTGCGATTTCTGCCGCAAATACACCAGGGTGGGGTGTGCATGAGAACAGAGGTGTTTGGAGTGGATCAAAAGCCAAGTGAGTTTGAAACTTAATTATACTCATTTTCGCATGTTTTCTTTTATCATGTTGTTATTAGTTTTATGTTGTAGGTAATCTAAGATACTCCTTTAATCTTTAAACACGTTTTTGAAACCCTCAAGCTGTTTTCCTTTGATGATACCTGCTTTTGTTGTAGATTAGCTGCTAAAATCATACAAACTACTGTTTCTGCACTCATCAAAGACTGTTGTTGTCATCCTCAGTGTTGAATAAATTGTCAATCAATTCACACATGAAACAGAACCCACATCAGATGAGAATGGTTGCTAGGAAATGGCTCATGAATGTGAATTTATTGTTGGTACCTTCAAATTTTGATTTATAAATGAATTATAATTTTTTTTAAGTAAGGTGGAGATTATATTGAACTTTAGAATTATTGGGTAAAAATACCAAATAAGATGAGTTGAGACTTGTTTAGCAGATCTTCTAGAAGTTATTTAATCAATTGTCGAAATTAGTTAACATGATTTCTATAAAAATTATTATCTTAAGGCTTGAAGCAATGGAGGCCACTGGCCTCCGTTGATCTGCCATGTTTATTTTAGGGCTGTCTAGGGTAATCCATAAAACTTTGAGCAAAGGTTTTAAACCTACTGGTTGTAACTTATTGCATTTCTCTAGGGGGCTGTTCCAACCAACTACGGTATCTCGAGCTCAGATAACCTAGCTTCTGGGCTAATTCTTAATTTAAGCCCTCTATTCCAAAGCTAGAAGTTTTAACTAATTTTAAATTGCACTCCTTATCTTATCTCTGCAAGAAGAGGTTGATCTGTATTGCTTATCAAGCTTGTTCCATTTAGCACTGCTAAGTATAAAATCTCTTCACTTAGCCTGAGAAAAATAGTTTACAGTAAGGGACAACTTCATGTCCGATCCAACTTATTACTCCCGAAATAGGGGGCATTGGGACTTTTAGTTTTGCGGTTCTGACTATTTTTAGATCGGTTTTTTGGTTGTGCGCTAAAAAACTTCGGTTTTCAGTTTTGTTGCGGTTTGCGGATTTTCTGTCGTTTAGCTTAAATTGTTTTTGGTTTGCGGATTTGGTGTCTAATGTGGTTTTCGGTTTATCCTATTGGGTTCCGGTTTCTCTTTTATCAGAATGGCAATTATGCGCCTCCACTGATCGCGAGTAGCTGCCAAACCTCGGTATGCTCCACTTGTCACTACTGTATCGAATCAATTAGGGTTTTGATAACTTGAATGTGAAATTTTATGGGTTTTACATGTGATTTTCGGTTTTGATCTTTTATTTTTGTGGTTTTGCAGTTTGGACGACTTCTTCTACGGTTTTGCAGTCTCTACCAAACCCCCATGCCCCTCTCCTGAAAGGGACAAAACACTTCTTTTACTTATAGTGCCAGCATGAGATGGAATAGTTTACATGTGAAGACCAAGTCTGCACCTTCTTTTGCATGTTTCGAAGAAAACCTTGCTTGAATCTCAAAAACTCTTAATGAAATATCTTTTGGATGCAGCTCCACAGTGAAAAACAAGAACAATGATAATTTCGTTACTTTTAAACTTTTATCATTAGTTACATTTTAAAGAGAGTATCTATGTTACAGATGTGATTATTATCCCTTACTTCTGACCTATTTGTATACTTATTTCTTGAAATTATTTGTAACCATTAGGATTCTTTAGCAGATCCAGATTGAACCTATGCTGCAACTTAACTTTTAACGTGCTTTTACAAAGTAAAGAAAGTTTTTACATATTACGTATTACGTATATTTTAACAATGTGTGCTTATCAAGTGTGCAATTTGAATCGATAAATGGCTGAAACAATAGAAACAACTGTTTCTGTTCTTGTCAAAAACACCAAGTGACTCACGGTAACATGTGTAGTTTGTATACTCACAGATCCTGTAGAAGTTATCCCATTGATTATTTGAAATATTTGAGAAACAATGTGAAGGCTGATTTTAAATTTATCTTGCAGCTTGTGAAATGGAGGCTATTGGTCTGGCCTTTGATGGTAAAATTCCAAACAACAGCTTCACAGCTACATCATCCTTTGATGGTAGATATGAGCCTCATGATGGTCGCCTGAATGCAAATGGACGGGGTTGGGGACCCTTAGATAGAAATGATCCTAAAGACTACTTACAAATTGACCTTTTGTTTGAGTATGTTATCTGTGCTGTGGCTACTCAAGGAAGTAAAGGAACCAATGAATGGACAACTAAGTACAAGATTTACTTATCATTGGATGGTAAAAATTTTGTCGCCTATAATGAAACCGGTGTTGAAAAGGTTGGTGTATGCGAAGGTTATTTTTATTTAATAAATCTTGCACTTAAAAACAAACAGTCAAATTTTCTAATCAAAACCAGAGACACAAATTCCGTTTGTTAACAGACAGCATTAATCTTTTTTCAAGTGAACTATAAACTGCTGCATATAAGAGGAATTAAAATTGTGGAGACTCTCATCGTCCCAAAATTTAATTCATTTTAGGGAGCCCTTATTTCAGTTTCCAAAGTTCTTATCAAGGACTTGAATAAACTCATCTATGGTTTTATTTGGAGAAGTAAAAAGAACACTAAGCAGTTATAAATTATATTTAGAATGAAGGACTTAAAAATGCTAAATTGTGACTGAATGGTACAAACACAAATAGTGTTATCTATTAAAAGACACCTTGATGAAAATTCTTGATGACGTGTCTCCAGGTTTCTCCAGGGAGTTGGCGAAAACTTTTTTCTCACTTGTAACTTTTTGGTACCTTTTCATGTTTCGATGTGTGGTCAGAGTTAGCATTTTCAACTCAAAATAATTATCCGAGACACTCGTACTCATACAATACCCAATGGTCTATGGTTCATTCCTTTGGCTATTTGCAGGCTCAAAGTCTCAGTATTGGTAGAAGCTGACAGTTACAAGTGTTAATGATGCAGTATATCTAATTGAGAAAATTTTGATGCAATAATCTCACATTTTGCACCACAAATTGTAGGTCTTTACTGGAAACGCGAATAGAAATACCATAAAAAAAAACAGTCTACAGGAATTTGCAAGTACAAAGTTTATCCGCTTTTGGCCAACAGCATATCACAATTGGAAGGTTCTGAGAGTGGAAGTTTATGGAGTACTTCTAACTAAAGGTATTTATTTAACTTGTCCAGATCAGTTAAAGAATTATTTAGTTAAGTGATCAGAAGTACACAAAAAATATCTGAGGGATACTAACTTATTAGATTTAGGGAGAAACATGTCATCAGCAATGGGACAGTCTTCGTTCAAATATGCTTCTATGAAAGATTGAAACGATCTCCCAAAAGAGTTGAGAGAACACACCTCCTACTTCCTCGTTCTTTGTCTGCATTTTTATTGACCTCGACTTCGTCCCGGTTCATAAAAGTGCAAAAAAAAACTCAGCCAAAATCCAGCCATCTTGACCTCACGCTTGGTCAATAATACATATGTATAGATAGAGCCTTGGTAAGGTGTGAATGTTTTTTGAAATAATTCAAGAGCCTACTATAAGAGAATTTGACAATCAACGACTTTAATTCGCTTTGAGCCTCATCTCATCTACTCTGCCTAGATTCTTCAGCTTCTCCGTTTGCTACATCAAGTAGAGTTTACCTACATTATTTTTTTCGTGCTTGATATAATCCAGTGTGTGATGTGATTGTTGTATTGCAAGTGCATTAAAGATTCTGGAAGTTAGTGGGTTGCTATCGCAACAGAATCATTTGTCCAACTATTCTAAGAGCACGTCTCTATACTTAGGGTATAAATAATGTATATCTAATACATTCACAGTCCCCACCAGTGTTAATACTCCACACTGCTTTGGGGAACATTTAATGCTTTCTAAGTTTTCAAGGTTCATTAATTTACTTTCGCATCAATAATTAACGGAGAATTAAAACACATAACTGTTGTTGTTTAACATTTCAGTTCCAATACAACCTCCCACTGCCTTCAATTTGACTGCAAACTCTTCTACCAGCATTACAGCTTCTTGGCAGCTACCACCAATCTTTACCAGACCTGGAAGACACGTAACAGGGTTTAAACTGTTTTACAAAAAGAAGGACTGTGGAGGGAGTTTTTCCTTCTTGAATATTACTAGTGGATCGACATTAAGCAGACTTGTGACTGGGCTCGAAAAGTACACAGAATATATATTTCAATTGTTGGCCTACACATCTAAGGGTGATGGACTAAAAAGTTCTGTTGAAGTGGAAAGAACAATGGAAGATGGTATGTGACAATCCAGAGCTAATGAAAAAATGTGTGAACCATATTTTATGAAGTTTTTCACCTTCATTAAGTGTTGCTTGCCAATGAGATGCCAAACACGTGATGAGAACGGCTTACTGTAATGTGTGAAACTAAACGAAACCAAACAAAATATGAAATGAAAATCTGTAATTTGCAAGACAGAAATCTGTTAATAATTGACGAAGTACAAATCTGTCATTTGCGAAATAGTAGTCTGTTGATGATTTTTGAAATGAACAGAAACCTTTCATTGGGGAAATAGAAATTTGTTAATGATTTTCGAAATAGGAATCTGTAATTTGCGAAATTGAAATTTGTAATTTGCGAAATAGAAATCCGTAATTTGTGAAACGAGAATGTCTGCGGGGAACTTTCCAGGCCAGGAGAATGAATCGGTCAGTGCGTCACAAGTTTGGAGAGCATACGCAGCCCACTAAATCATAAAAATGAGAAATGAAAAATATCCGTGGTGTTCTTTGCGAAATCTCCACTATGTTCGTAAACAAATCAATGCGTTATCTACGCGAAAGAAGAGTTGCACCATCAAACCAAAAAGAGCAAGTATTATTCGAAATAATAACTGGCGCTGTAGCCGTGGTGCATAAAAGGAGTAAGCAATGTACGTTGTAGATATATTATTCGAGTGCGATGTATTATTCGACACTTTCCTGACCGAAAATACATTTGCAAAATGGCCGAGCATGTTTCTGGATAAAACATCACGGTGGCTGGGAAATTTGTAATGATCCAAACTCTTTGATTTTCTTGAGTTTCAAGCATGTTAACGATTTTCTTTACAGATTTCTAATCCGAAAATTTCAGATTGTCATATCGTTTTGTTTCGCACATTAGAGTAAGCCACGAGAAAACTAAACAACCAGAAAGTTTAGGAATCAAGTGATTACTTTTCTAAGACGCAACAGCAATAATATTTATGCGGCGAGTTTAGGTGTGACATGGAGTTTTCAGACATCCTAACAGCTAATTAAACTCATTAATACACTGTTATCCAATTGCAGCTCCTTCGCGACCTCCATCTAACTTCTACGTCACTGCAACTTCTTCTACCACTGTTACCGCATCATGGCAACTACCACCAGTAGATTCCAGAAATGGAATTATCAAAGGATTTAAAGTTTTTTACAAAAGGAAAGACTCTGCAGGGTCAGGAATCATCCTTACTATCAACGGTGAATCAACTTTCAACAAAAATGTCACTGGTCTTAATAAGTACACAGAATATGAATTTCAAGTGTTGGCCTTTACTTCTGTTGGGGATGGACCAAACAGCTCTGTGGTTGTTAAGAGAACAGGCGAAGATGGTGAGGACAGCTCTTTGTTCTATTTTCTTAAAGTGTCATGGCTTTTAATAAAAGGCCAAATACATATATATTCTCCCAAGTGAAATGAAAAATGCAAATGTATATATCTATGCATGTGCACGATATATGAAATATCATCAGATTCCCAATATGATCTTTAAGACCACTTTAGCAAATGCTCTCAGTAAATTAGCTAATTTAAAAAAAACATTTTGAATATTTAACAGAATTTGACCGAGTAATTTATGCAAAAAGGGCAATATTTTTTAAGTATTTGTAAAAAGATTATAAACACCATTTCAAAGCGGGAAAACCTATGTATAAGTTAATCATTAATAATAATAAGGAGATGGCGATAACCGCAATGATTTTATTTATCACTATGATTATTACAATTTCTCAATTGCAGTTCCTTCACGGCCTCCTGGTGGCTTTACTCTGACTGCAACCTCTTCTACTAGTATAACAGCATCCTGGCAGTTACCACCAGAAGACTTCAGAAATGGAAACATTACAGGATATAAATTGTTCTACAAAAAAGGAGGCTCTTCAGGGCCAGCAAGCATGCAGCCCATTAACAATCAGGCAACTCGCACTCAAGAGGTCACTGGGCTTGATAAGTTCACGGAATATGAATTTCAAATATTAGCATTCACTTCTGTTGGGGATGGACAAAATAGTACAGTTAGTTTTAAGAAAACAAAGGAGGCTGGTAAGAAATAGGGATTTAACTATTTTTATGGAACAAAAAACTTCTGAATGCAAGACATTTCTCTGTAGAATGTTATTTAGGCCTAAAGAAGAGGACAAACAGACTTGACGAAACTTCTTCTATGGGTTTATTTGTCCTATATTATATAGATACTGATGAAATACCAGGAGTTCTCCTTTTACTAAAAAATCATATCTTTACCGCGCGCAGTAAAGGTACTATTTTTATCTTTCACGTGTGAGGATATTGGTGTGGCCATGGTTACCAACATAATTACACAATTACAATAGAGCTTCTCGCTCAGGCGCGCGTGAAAATGAATAAAAAAGTTGTCTTTTATGTGGAAATTTCATCAGTATCTATCTAATAAACAGAACATTACAGGGCCGCTTGGGGATACGAATTTTATCTTCTCGTGTTGAAAGTATCTCTAACTCGTGAGAGATACTTTCAGCACTCGAAGATAAAATTCGCATCCCCGCGCGGCCATGTAATATCCTCTATATCTCTGATATAATAGATCTTACCTCAATCTAGATTTCAGCAAAATAACTTTATGGCAGGTGTACATGGTTACCTGAGTTTTATAGAAATACACCTTTCCCTGTACACGCATGGAATTATTATAACAATTTCTGTCCATTAAAATGTCCTGGAGGGATAACGTCTAAGTGTGATGGAGGCACTGTTGAAGTTACAAGTAAGGGATATACATTTAATTTAGCTATTATCTAGAAATCTGTCCATGGGAAGTATAGCAATCAGATTTCTTACTTTTAAATTTTTTTTAAAACAGTCAAAGCTGCTTATGTACATGTAGCAGACGTTTTTAAAACATGCAGTGTCGTGTTTTTATGTCTCACCGAATAGCTAAGAATGAGTAATATGGAGGGAGGACTCTTCAATGAAATAAGATGTTACCCCACAGTTGTTTGAATTGACTTGAAAGAGTCAAATAAAAGGAATTTGATACTAAAGAATAAGTGCACCAAAATTATAATAGCAAGCTATGCTCTTGTCTGTTGGAAATCTGTTATAACTTTAACCAGTATCATTAACTTTAAATGTGCCTTGATTAAGCCTCTATATTGGGTTATTTTGCATACAACTCAGACATCTCTACGACTGAATGTGCCACTCTCTCAATGAGGCATTAATGGATATCTTCTTTAATGAAAACTTCCAAATGAAAGCTGTAAGTCAGCTCTACCATTTATAGTGTCGAGAAAAATGGCACTGAGCCTGATTCATTTATTAAAATGCTAATGAAAACACGACTGCTCTATTGCAGCTCCTTCAGGATCTCCCTCTCAGTTCAATGTCACTGTAAACTCTTCAACCAGTATTACAGCCTCATGGCATTTACCACCCGAAAGCTTCAGACATGGAATCATCAGAGGATATAAACTTTTCTTTAAAAAGAAAGACTCCGGTTCAACAACCTCCTTGACTATAAACAATGCAACATCAAAAAGAGTCACCAACCTTGATGAATACACTGACTATGAATTTCAAGTGTTGGCCTTTACTTCTGCTGGTGATGGACCAAAAAGTCCTACTGTTTCAACGAAAACAATGGAAGATGGTGAGAATCGCAAGACCTCTAACCAACATTTAGATAAGCTTTTCTACACTACTTGCTGACACAAAGTTCATGTTAATGATTGATTTAGTGTGTTGGCTTTCAAGTTAGATCTTTAAACTCAAATAGTTGACCTTGCCTCTTCAATTAGCTTTTAACCTGGTTATGAAATCTTCTTCTTCGTCATGCGTTGTGAATAATCAGCTCCTAGTAGTTTGCTCTCATGACTTGAGTTGTTCAGTTGCTCAGATGAACTGGTCTTTAATATGATTTTTATATTGTCCCTATGAAGAAACCACCTAAATAGGGGAGCAGCACATGCTTATGTTACATTCTACAATATTCTTCAACATGCTTGGGATTTATTGCTGTTATTTGGTACAAATACACGTAATGATTTTCTGTATCATTCTTTCATCAATAATCACGTTATCCTTTTTCTTTCAGCTCCCAGTGCACCTACGTTTTTGTCTTTTGTTAATGTGCCACCTAACAATTTGCATGGTCCCAGAGCAACCTTGTCTTGGAGCAAGCCTGCAGAACCAAATGGAGTTATCAGAAGTTACACTTTGTTTTACAGTTACGGTGGAGCTGTGCCAAAAGAGAATTCCGGATTAGACAAAGATGCATTGAGTCACACAGTTGATGTGTTGGGTGGAGTGACGTATCAGTTTCATGTCAGAGCTCTGACTATTAAACCGGGACCAAATGGGACAATAAATGTAACCACCAAGGAATATGGTAAACTTTGCTTTCATATCTTTAAAATGGTGCACTTTTCAATAATTATATGTTAGAAGAACAAGTAAAAGAACGAAAACAATCTTATCGGTACTGTACTAAAGTAAACTATTATATACTAATGTGAAAAGTAAAAGTAAGGAGAGCAGCTGGACACCAATGACAACTAAAGACCAAAGCTGACTCCTACTTAGTACGTAAAATAAACATAAGATTAGGGGGAAAAAGCAGCGACTGGCTAAATTGTTATTGCTTATATGTATATCTTGATTAAGACTAATGCCTACTGTACAAATACATAATCTAAAGATCATTCTCCTGCATCACTTTACTTAGATTTAATAACACAACAATCAGAAATCAATTAGAAAACTATTGATTATAAGTAAGTAAGGTTTCAACTCTGCCATTACTTTATGGAGAATTGTTAGTATTTCTCTCCCAACAGTGGTAAAATATTTCCCGTTTGTGAATAGAAAACCAAAACATTTTTTTCTAGAAAGTAGAAATACTGTCTTCGTATAAGTGCCAGGTTTTCACTCTATTTCTTAGCACCCAGTGCTGGCCCAGAACCTGCTTCACCCTCTCCAGTGAACAAGACGACTTTTAACATTTCATGGGAACCTTTACCAAGAGAAAAGAGTTATGGAAAAGTTACTTTGTATGAAGTTAAGGCCATCTTCTTAAAGAAGGAAAATTCGCGCAAAAGATCTGTCATCAACAGCCTCTCTGCCAATACCTCAGCGACATTTGTTGTCCTGTCTGATTTCGAGCTTTGTTCTAAATATAATGTTTCTGTCCGAGCTTACACTGCAGCAGGGTCTGGACCCTATGGCGAACCTTCGGAACTGAAAACGTCAAGTAAGATTGACGAGATTATTATGAAAATTGTCCTAGTTTTGTGACGTGATTGGTGAAAACAAATTTGTTTTAAAAAATAATTAAAATGGTGCTGAAGTCAGTTGAGTTAAATGGTACAGAAGAACTAGAGCTTAAATTACATTGTCTGGTAAACTACGATTCAGTTCACGTTTTTGTTCGTTAGAGTGTGTCTGCTTCTTGGTAACAAAAAAATAAAAACAGAGAAAATTGAAGCAACTTCAGATTCTGAACAACCATCACACTTGCTACATTTTCTGGACCTCAGTAAATTGTTCAATTCGAAGTCAGGGCAGTTTTATCTCTGTCATAACCCAATTTGATTTAAGTGGAACTAGATTTCAATTCGTGTCTTTTTTTGAGTTGGTATCTTCAGTTGTCAGTTCATTTTATTTTATGATTACTGATAATTTGAAAAATAAAGCTCTACTTTTAATATGCATCACATGATTTAAAATCTTTGCTTTAAAGTATTCTGACTTGATAACTTCTGCAATATACTCTAGACTCTTCTTAAACTTTTTTGTTTTCTAACGTGACACTTAAGGACCTCAGCCACCAGGGGACTTTAGAGCAACCCACTCTGGAACAACCCAGGTTACACTGACGTGGAAACAATACGATGGAGAGGGAAATATTGAGTATACTGTAAGTTGGATTAAAATTACGGTATTTGTTCTCTTTCGAATAAATTTCGTTCACGGTTAGCTCAATCGATAGAGCGCTGGACTGTTGTGCGGGAGGTCGAGGGTTCGAGGCCCGGCCGGACCAACAATCAAGGTCTTAAAATAATTGAGAAGAATATGCTCCCTTGCTATAACATCAAGAAATGGTTAGATATTCTAGTCTTCTCGGATAGGGACGAATAAATGGAGGTCCCGTCTCCTGCAGGGTTAGGGGTAGGAGACGTTAATTTCCCACGCACGAGAGTACTGTGTGATGGATGTCCTCCCCTGGGGTGGGATGGGTGGGTTTACTGGGCCTGCAGTAATTGGCGGAAGCTGTTGCGGTGTCCCTGCCTGTCGGAAAAGCTAAATAAATAATTAGACACGTTTTCAAACTGACCGTTGGTGTGAGATCTTACATGTATATGTACATTTTTGTTGCTAATACTAATGGATGTGTAATAGGATTTTGGCTCAATTGAAATTGATTTTACGAAATCCTATCGAACAAATTTTAGCACCGAACCTGTTGTACTTTATTTTGTAGCTGAAGTATACTGGAACAAAGGATTACGATAAAGCGTTCAAAGATGGTGAGAAGATTGTAAAACCAATACAGAAATCAACGCAAACGGTAACTGGGTTAAATCCAGGCACCAAATACGTATTTGAAGTTTATTGGACTTCTGTTTGTGGCAAAAGTGTTTTCAAAACGTTATCAGTGGAAACAGATATGATGGGTGAGTATGAGAATGGAAATAGAAATTGTTACTCTGCACCTTGAGTCAATGCCAAAAATATCAAACTTATATCAGCAATCGATCAGGTACATTTTGAAAGCTATTATTTCCTAAATAAGTTGTGATCGTGCGGTATCAGTGTTTGGTTAATGTTTGCTTAATCGGTGTTTGCTTTTCCTTTTACGCTTTTTCTTATTTTGAATTTTTTTATTTATCAGAAAAAATTAATTGCGGCCAGTTCTTAAAAGCCATCCAATCAAAGGCACCCGATAAACACGAGGAAATAATCAATCAGTGATTAGCAATAGCTGCCATCGAGTTATAGATGCAACGACTTTCCGAAAATTTATTACCCTGCGACCACAACGTAGTAATGCCATGCCAGTTCTGTCAAACCCAAGCGAATTGATTATGTCTAACCGTCATTTTGATCAAGTCACCTCCTTAAGAGATGAATTTCATTATTTCACTTTATTCGATTCTGCACAGTGTCATGAGTCACCTTCTGAACTAGTAATAATACAGCTGTACATGCAGGCTCTTGTTGAACACGAACCCTTTTTTGAACAAAAAATGTTGTTGTGACACAAATTATTATTATTCTCACCAGCTCCTGAACCTCCAGATCCACATAATGTGACCGATGTTGAGATTTCCGAGACAGCTGTTGATATTTTTCTATGGCCTGTTGAGCAAAAATATGGTCCAATAAGGTAATTATCAATAAGGTGATTTGGAAAGGGAAAAAATGTTGAATAGATCCTACCTCAAGATGAGGTAAGATTACCGGCCGCTGCTCGAGAAGTGAGGTCACGCACCTCCCACGAAGACTCGATTGGCGATTGCAGTGGAAATCAAACCAGAGGCGTAAGATATATGTATTTCAAATAATCTGTAGCAAAATTAATCCTCATCGAAAATAAACTTTATCTTGCAATTGCAAGCTTACGAGATTTTAAGGCGGTACATATCAAATTATTGAAGAAATGATGATCTGCATCGTTCACGTAGATAGGCTGACAGTATATCCCAGACCACTAACCCTTCATCAGTCTCTCCTTGTGGTAGATTGAATTTCATGTTAATGTTCCGCTCGGAAGCAACTCTTGGTAAACTCTTATTTACCCCTAGTAAATTTATGGTTTGTCGTGAAAGTGGGATAAACCCCTGCAGGAGGATTTAAGAGCGTAGTATGCAACCAATCACTGATGGCAAGATCATGATATACTTAAGGGCTTTATAAATTGCCTTCATGAGTCAAGCGAATTGTTTTCAATCTTTTAGTGCTTATCAGGTTATCGTTCTGAAAGTTGTCGATGGTGTTGAAAAGCTTCCGGAGAATTATGATTCTCAGCTGAAGGCTGCCAGTGAAGCCAAGAAAGACGACGTGAACTTTTACATTGCTGCTGAGATAAAAAATGTCCCAGCAGTTGAAAAACCTTGGAAATTTACTGTTGGCGATGGTGAAAAAACAGAAATATATGTGAATGAAGAACTTGAAAAAGGACAGAATTACATAGTGTACGAGAGAGCTCTAACTGACACCACGAAGGTATGTAAACCAATTATTTTACTAAGTTTTCCTCACATTTTAAAACTAGAATCATCTGACCATTCGTGTGATACAGAACGATTTGTCTTTTCTTTGTGTAAAATTAACCAGCCCCTATTTTGACTGGTTCGACCATAAATGGAGCTTCCCACAAACCTAGTAGAGCTTTAACGTCCCTACACTACTAATTCGATTAGGTTTACTGACCTTTTGGCGGTCGACACAGCATTTTCTATATTTCAGAGGACGTTTTTGGTACAGCACCAGGAGAAAGTGTAGTTTTAGTACAAAGCAACTTTTCAGTTGCCTCTTTTCTCGATTCAGTCACCTTATTGATTTTAAAACACTGGCATTTTTTAAATGTGGGTTTGTTTTTTTTGTATACTTTACAGGAAGTATTAAAAGGAGAAGTAGAGAAAGTTGCCAAAATCACCATCACCCCGACCAATACGGGTTTGTTTATATCACAATTAACTAACCATAAACCTTTACAATTGTGTAAAATAATTTAAGGTGCTTTTCAGGAGCAGTTCCTCACTTGCAAGAGTGTTGGCTCTAAGAGGCTCATATGTAACCTAGTATTAATTACCTTTACCTTTGTACAAATGTTATTCTGCAAGCATTTTCTCTTTTTAGCTTTCAAAGCCCGGTGTCTACTTATTCGTTTAGATGGTTTGATAAAAAAGCGAATCTCAATACAGATCTTCAACTTTGAGAGTCCAACGTTTATCCCAGAATTTGGCTCATTCGCCCTTACAGAGCTAAATTTGCTTTCGATAGCGAGCTGCCCATAAAAGTTTCGTAAAATTTGAGGGAAAATATCAATAGATTGATGGCTGGGGTAGCCAAAACCCAAGGGGTACGATAAAATCTAAAAAGAACCAGGATTATTAAGAATTGAGAAGATAACCGCAGATTGCAAATGAAGAACTCCTAAATCGTTGGTGAAATAGCTTCTTTACTTAACTTATTTTGAAGTTATCTTTAGCGTGAATCAGGGATGCATTTGTTAGTACAAGTCAGCACTCGGAGCAACAACTATTTTGGTTACCCTGGCGAGTAGAAAAGATGTTGCCGCTTTTGCGAGTGTTTTGTCTTAAGATGTCAAGCGAACCTTCAGAAACCATTGTCCGCCACTGTTGCCTAAAATTCTTTTTTGACAACGATTTTCTGATTTTCGGTCGCCAGATGTCAACCCTTGAATTTTGTAAGCTTGGAGCATTAAAGAAGTAGTAATTCCAGAAATTAACACTTGATTTTTAAACTCTTTTCACGTTTCTCTCATGCAGGAGCTGGGACAACGGAAAAGTCCAGCGGTTTTAACGCTGTAGCTGTTGCTGTACCTGTTGTCCTGTTGCTACTTCTCGTACCAGCAGTTGTTGTCGCAGTATTCTTCTACCGGAGGTTTGTTTGATTTTTATTTTAAGACTAAATACTTCTGAATGAGCGCATAACAAGTATTTTGACCAAAATTGAACATTATATCCTTTTTTCAGGAGAAGGCAGTCAAGATCCAAAGGTGCTAGTGAGAGATCTGTGCGACTTGGTGACCTTAAAAACGATGATGAAAACCTAACCGCCAGTACATCAGATCTGGTTTATCAGAATATAGGAGACATTCGTCAGTCAATTAAAGGTACTTTATTATAGAAAAAAGGACAACGATTGCTTACTTTAGCCTTGTTGCCTTTCTAGCAGAAGTGTATTTAACGAATATTCACGATAATCATGGCAAACGTTTTATGTTGAAGGAAATTGTTCGGCTTCAACACTAAATAAAATATAAACAAATAACCAATATTGGCCAAAACTGATTTACTTTACGCATTTCAATTATAGAATAATGACTTGTACAAATGAGATCGCTTACATACATATCTCAGGATCTCAAGTAAAAATCAGTCAAATAATTATTCTCACCTCGAAAAAATCTCCCCGGAGTCTCTAGTTCCATCGTAGGAACAATGCAATAACATTTCTGCAAAAGCACTGTCTGTAGTGTTACCGAAACCCATTGTTGTTTTCCTTGCCCTCCATAAATCATACACAGACTCTCGAAGTCGAATAACCTTTGCCGAGCCGGGCAGACCCGGCCTTCCTCTATACCGCTTCTTCGGCGGCATCAACTTTTCAAATGACGTTTTTCACCGTCATACATGTAAGAATTAAAAACTATTTACTGATATGGATACTACAATAGTTTGTTGTTCTCACATGATTCAAGATGGAACTTTGAAAGCCCTAATTAGTAAGATGGAAGAAGATATCAAAGCGATTCCGCAACTTCGAGGAAAATAGCGTATTTTTCATTTATGAAAAATGATCTGGGCGCGCAAGGCATCTCGGTTGAAAATGGGCCTTTAAATGCTCTTTTCGTGAGCTTACGCAAGTCAGGGTTTAGACAGTTCCATAACCTCGTATCAAACGCAGAGAAAGACTTAAATTTCACATGCAATCTAGATTTCTGAACTTAAAAATTCTCTGTGGAAGAGAAACGCGTGTTTACTCACAGAATTGAACAACACAAGCTCCTGATGCCAAAATGAACGCTGTCACAAAATTTTGCGGGTGATGTAACCAACAGCACAACATAGTCATCGTTAATACATAATTTGACCTATTTCTGCGTGAAAACAAGCGTAATAGTCTTAAGAACAATGCATACAAATTTGCTTACTGTTCAACTACGCATGCTGACCGCTTCAGCTGTCCTTATATACAATTAAGTTACAAGGATGACGTTTGCATCGTTCTATCAATGACCTGATCAAGCTGCTGATCACCAATCTCGCCTCATAATTTTTTGATAGTTTTGATTAAGACAGGTTATAGCCTACGAGGTATTATAGAGTCGTACTGCTATGACCATAACAATGAAATGTCATAGGTTCTAGTAATGGAGAGTCACTGTGTTGTGTTTTGGGACAAGTTGTGTAAACGTAACACTTAGGGATACAAATGGGTGTGGGTGGGGTAAGCTGTCTAGGACGTTTGAAAATAAATATTTTGCATTGACCAAACAGAGACCATATTTTTGAGCTTTGGGATAAGGAGAATTTCACTCATTTAAAACTGTGTGGAATTCGACAACTGGTTTCGAAAGTTCCATACCAAATGTTTGGTTAAGCCACACACCTAGTAATGTTTCCAGACAATAAATCTGGACATTTCTTTAAACTTTTGTTACGAACGTTTATTGCCTGCAGAACTGTTTTTATTCCTTAACCTTAAACACTTCTATTCAATTATGTGCCAGTGGACAATGCTCGAGTGCTCTTACAAGCTTCTTCACGAGAGGAGAGTTACATCAATGCCTCGTTTGTGGATGTAAGTTCGAAAATGACTCTTTATAAA